TCAGGACACCTGTATGTTACAGGGAGTGCAACAGAAGTAACTGCCAGTCTCAGACCTTGTGACGAAGAAGTCTCTAGTGAACCCCCAAAACAACAGGGAAGACAAAAACATGGCCAAGCGCGGTAGCTCACGCCTGTAATCCCAGCACTTTCGGAGGCCAAAGTGGGCGGATCACCTGAGGTCAGGAGTTCAAGACCAGCCTGGTCAACATGGTGAAACCCCATCTCTACTAAAAATACAAAAAAAATAGCTGGGCATAGTGTCGGGCACCTGTAGTCCCAGATACTAGGGAGGTTTAGGCAGGAGAATCGCCTGAACCTGGGAGGCAGAGGTTGCAGTGAGCCGAGATCGTGCCAGTGCACTCCAGCCTGGGTGACAGAGAGAGACACCGTCTCAAATAAATAAATAAATAAATAAATAAAGACATCACTATCCCTATTAGCTTCTGACACCGACAGTGACAATATGAGTACAGCCTAACTCCTCCAGATTCCCATAAAACCTCACATTAAGAGCCTATCTGGGCTGGGCACGGTGGCTCACACTTGTAATCCCAACACTTTGGGAGGTTGAGGTGGGGGGATCACGGGGTGAGGAGTTCGAGACCAACCTGACCAACAGTGAAATCCAGTCTCTACTAACGATACAAAAAATTAGCTGGGCGTGGTGGTGGGTGCCTGTAATCCCAGCTACTCAGGAGGCTGAGGCTAGAGAATTGCTTAAACCCGGAAGGCAGAGGTTGCAGTGAGCCGAGATCGCGCCATTGCACTCCAGTCTGGGCGACAAGAATGAAACTCCGTCACAAAAAAAAAAAAACAAATTCATGTCTTTTGCAAGGACATGAATGAAGCTAGAAGTCGTTATCCTCAGCAAACTAACGCAGGAACAGAAAACTAAACACTGCCTGTTTTCACTTATAAGTGGGAGCTGAACGATGAAAACACATAAACACATTTCAGGGAAACAACACACACTGGGGCTTGTCGAGGGGTGGGGCTGTGAGGAGGGAAATCATCAGGAAGGACAGCTAATGGATGCTGGGCTAAATACCTAAGTGATGGGTTGGTCTGTGCAGCAAACCACCATGGTACACGTTCATCTATGTAAAGAACCTGCACGTCCTGCACACACACCCTGGAACTTAAAAGTTGAAGAAAAAAAAATCAAAACAAAACAATTTCCTTTAATTCTCTGAATATGGTCCTCATGACTAGGCAGCCTGAATTTGAATCCTGATTCCATCATTCACTAGCTGTGTCTTTGCATCCCAGGTTTCTCATCTACAAAACGCGTGCTGTTATGGGTTGCTGGCTATTCTGGTTTTTCGTTTTCGTTTTTTTGAGACAAAGTTTCGCTCTTGTTGCCCAGGCTGGAGTGCAATGGCGTGATCTCAGGTCCTTGTAACCTCTGCCTCCCGGGTTTCAGCGATTCTCCTGTCTTGGCCTGCTGAGTACCTGGGATTAAAGGGTGCACCACCATGCCTGTGAATTTGGTGTTTTTAGTAGAGATGGGGTTTCACAAATGTATTGTCTGTTTGGAGATGAATGGGCTGGGTGTGGTGGCTCTCGCCTGTGATCCCAGCACTTTGGGAGGCCGAGACTGGCGGATCACTGGAGGTCAGGAGCTAGAGACCAGCCTGGCCAACATGATGAAACTCTGTCTCTACCAAACATACAAAAATTAGCTGGGCAAGGTGGCAGACACCTGTAATCCCAGCTGCTCGGGAGGCTGAGGCACAAGATTCCCCTAAACTCAGGAGGCAGAGGTTGTAGTGAGCCGAGATCAGGCCACTGGACTCCAGCCTGGGCAATAGAGCAAGACTCAGTCTCAAAAAAATTAAAAAATAAAAAAAACGTTAAGACAAAAATCATAAGGAAATTACATAAACAACTTTATGCCAGCTATTTGTGAAAATATCAAAACAGACCATTTTATAAAAAAATACAACTTCAGTCTGGGTGGGGTGGCTCACGCCTGTAATCCCAGATCTTTGGGAGGCCAAGGCAGGTGGATCATCCGAGGACAGGAGTTCGAGTCCAGCCTGGCCAACATGGTAAAACGCCAACTCTACTCAAAGCACAAAAATTAGCCAGGCCTGGCGACCCATGCCTGTAATCCCAGCTACTCAGGAGGCTGAGAAGGGAAAATCACTTGAACCTGGGAGGCAGAGGTTGCAGAAAGCCGAGATCAAGTGACTGCAATCTAGCCTGGGCAACAGAGAAACTCTGTTTCAAAAGAAAAATATAACTTCATAAAAATGAACTAGGAAGAAACAGAAAAGTCAACATCTAGAACCATTAAAGAAATTGAGGCTGGGCGCGGTGGCTCATGCCTGTAATCTCAGCACTTTGGGAGGCGGAGACGGGTGGATCACCTGAAGTTGGAAGTTCGAGACCAGCTTGACCAACACGGAGAAACCCCGTCTCTATTAAAAATACAAAATTAGCCAGTTGTGGTGGCACATGCCTGTAATCCCACCTACTCAGGAGGTTGAGGCGGAGAATTGCTTCAACCCGGGAGACAGAAATTGCAGTGAGCCAAGATCCTGCCATTGCACTCCATGGTGGGTTACAAGAGTGAAACTCCTTCTCAAAAAAAAAAAAAAGAAGAAGAAAAGAAATTGAATGTTTATTTTAAAATCATCTGTACCCCATCCCCTCAAAAATCTCACAAAAAACAAAACGAAAGAAAAACACCAGGCCCAGATGATTTTATAGACAAGTCCAGCAAACATTGCAAAGAACAGAGAGTCTTTATCTTCCACATAATTTTTTTTTTTTTTTTGAGATGAAGTCTCTCTGTAGCCCAGGCTGGAGTGAAGTGGTGTGATCTCAGGTCACCATAACCTCCGCCTTCCAGGTTTAAGTGATTCTCCTGGGATTACAGGTGCATGCCACTGCATCCGGTTAATTTTTTGTAATTTTAGTAGAGATAGGGTTTCACCATGTTGGCCAGGCTGGTCTCGAACTCCTGACCTCAGGTAATCGCCTGCCTCGTCCACCCAAAGTGCTAAGGGTTACGGGTGTGAGCCACCGCGCCCGGCCTAAATAATCTTTCAGAAAAAGAAGCAAATGGAATTCTCCCCAACTCATTGTGAATTTAGCATAAGCTTAATACCAAACTAGACATGAATAGTACAAGGAGGCAAAAGTATAGACCAACTTCTTATGGACTAATATGCAGAAATGCTAAATAAAATATTAGCAAATAATCCAGCAACGTATTAAACATGTATAACGACCAAGTTATGGTTTTCCTAGGAAACTAAGGTGATGTAATAAACTGTTAAAGTAGGGCCAGGCGCGGTGGCTCATGCCTGTAATCCCAGCACTTTGGGAGGCCGAGGTAGGGTGGATCACGAGGTCAAGAGATCGAGACCAGCCGGGCGCGGTGGCTCAAGCCTGTAATCCCAGCACTTTGGGAGGCAGAGGCGGGTGGATCACGAGGTCAAGAGATCGAGACCGTCCTGGTCAGCACGGTGAAACCCCGTCTGTACTAAAAATACAAAAAATTAGCTGGGCATGGTGGCGCGTGCCTGTAATCCCAGCTACTCAGGAGGCTGAGGCAGGAGAATTGCCTGAACCCAGGAGGCGGAGGGTGCGGTGAGCCGAGATCGCGCCATTGCACTCCAGCCTGGGTAACAAGAGCGAAACTCCGTCTCAAAAAAAAAGAAAAAAAAACTATTAAAGTAGCACAAACTATCAAAGGAAAAAAATCTGTATGATCATTGCAACCTGTTCATTTGCCACATAATAGAATTTCTTTAATATTGTATATATATAGGTTGCTCATTTTTTTTGTCTGTGTTTCCTTATGTATCGGGAGCGGCAGGAGGCAGGGCTTTGTGTTTTTCTCACCACTGTCTGGCTCTTGCCTAGCACCGTCCTTGGCACACTGTAAACACGCTGAGGACAGTCTTTGGGACTAGCACACTCTAAGCAACATCACGCAGAGCCCAATGGTGCCTCTAAAGGGACCCGCCTTGCTACGTTCCGGCACAAGTCATGACGCGTGCGCATTGGCTGCCCGGGTTTTTTTTTTTCCTTGACCAGGCAAGTGGTAGGGCGCCTGCGCGATCCAGTGTTGGGGGCGACGCGCGCTAGAGAGGCGGGGCTGCGGCGCCTGCGCCTTGAGGAAATGTGGGCGGGGTCCGCACGGCGCCTGCGCAGGCGACCGCAAGCTTGCGGGGCGCGAAGGGGCGGGCCAAGGGCGGGGGCCGAGAGGGAGGCTAGGCGGTCCCGGCAAGCGGCGCCGCGGGGTTGGCTGCTGTCCTGAGGCCGGACTCAACGGGTCCCGGCTGAGCCACTGGGTGAGCTCCTCCCGGGCCAGCCACGAGCTTGCGAGGGAGCGATGCGGCGCCGCGCGGTAAGAGTCAGGGCTGCGTTCCCGCAGTGTTCGCCCGCGGGTCGGTTTATCGCCTCAGAGCCGCCCGCGCGGCCGGGCCCAGGCGTCCCCGCAGACCCCGGCAGCTCCCGCGCCTGCGCCGTCCCCCTCCTGGGCCCCTCCGGTCTGTCCCGCGCCTGCGCCTTCCCCTTCCCGCGCCGTCCCGATTCCGAGCTCCGAGGCTCCTGGGACAACCCGCAGGCTTTGCCGCGGAGACCCGCGGGCCTCCCGTTGGTGCCGGGCTTGAGGTGGTTCTGGGACCCGCCCGCGGCTCGTCGGTGTGTGGACAGGCCGGGTGCGACCCTCGTGCTAGCCTTTCCGGCGCTCCGGGACAGGCTGGGGCTGCTGCTCCATCGTCCCGGTTCCCTGCCTCGGGCGGGGACAGCATTGCTCCGTGGCCCCGCGGGCGCAGTGCGGGGAGCGGAGGCCACGGGCGGCGGCCCCAGGGCCTGCAGCGGGTGCTGCTTCTGCAGGGGCCGGCGCCCCAGGCCGACGAACATCTTTTCTCCTTGAGACCTGGCTCATTGCATCAGGTTGGATGTGAATAATCTGGTGCTTTGCTGAGGAAATTTTGCATTTCCAGGAACTTGGTAATTGTATCAGCTTAAGTAGTTAAATCTACGGCATCATAGTCATGGCAAGTTGGGCAGGCTGCCCTGGAGATGACGAAAAGAAATCGGTTTCCAGTAGTTTTACCCCATTTACAGAACACGCAGAAATTCTGTGATCATTCAAATGCAGGGACTTGATTTGTTGATGTCTTTGATCATTTGTCTGAAGTACGGGAAGGGCCAGGAAAAGATTCTCGGGACTACTGCCCAGGTGATTACAGGGGACGGTGTTTTCTTTCGTCAAAAGAGCCTTTTAAGCCATTGGTAATACTTACCACGTTTATAACAGGTACAAGCCTTTAAAAAATGACACTTGCTGTCAGCCAGTAGGACACATCTTGAGATGAAATCAGAGCCGTAGGCTTTGTGGACAAGAGCAGTCATTTCTGGTGGCTTGGTGGGGGGCGGGGGGGAGGGGGACGACTGCAGTTTTACAAATGCAGGTGACACCAAAGGGAGTATAGTAATTTTTCAGTAATTAAAAACCAGGCCAGGCGCAGTGGCTCGCGCCTGTAATCCCAGCACTTTGGGAGGCCGAGACCGGCGGATCACCTGAGATCAGGATTTCGAGACCAGCCAATACAAAAATTGGGTGGGCTTAGTGTCACCCGCGTGTAATCCCAGCTATTCAGGAGGCTGAGGCAAGAGAATCGCTTGAACCCGGGAGGTGGAGGTTGCAGTGAACCGAGATTGTGCCACTGCACTCCACTTCAACTTGGGTGACAGCATTCTCGGTCTCAAAAAATAAAAACCCAAAACAACAACAAAAACAGACATAACAAGGCTGAGTGCAGTGGCTCACGCCTGTAATCTCAGCACTTTGCCGAGGTGGGTGGATCACCTGAGGTCGGGAGTTCGAGACCAGCCTGGCCAACATTGTGAAACCCCATCTTTATTACAAATAAAAAATCAGCTGCATGTGGTGGCGCACTTGTGATCCCAGTGGCTTGGGAGGCTGAGGAAGGAGAATCGCTTGAACCAGAGAGGCGGAGGTTTCAGTGAACGGAGTTCCAGCCACTACACTCCAGCTTGGGGGACGAACCAGACTATGTTTCAAAAAAAAGAAAACCAGGCATAACAATATAAATATATTATAAAACAACCAAACCATTATATAGTGGAAGGAGAAGTACTGTTTTGGGTAAAATTGTTTCTATAAATAAATGGCTGATCCAGTATTTTTTCCTCCATAAAAACATCTTTTCCCTTTGATTTAGTGTACACCATGCAGAGTCGCTGAGCAGACTCAGTGACTTTTTGGGTAGGTGGACAGTGCTTTGTAATGGTTGCAGGTGTGTAGGGGTGTTCTTGACATTTTCAGTAAGAAAGTGAATGTTGTGCCATAAGAACGCTTTATCACTGGTGCACTTCGGTAGCAGACCAAATATGTGTCAAGTACAGTATCTAGTGAGTGGAGAATAACTGTAATAATTAGAATTAAAGTGAAGTTTGTATCGAGATTTCGGTTTCAAACAGGAACTTTTGAGGGTGTATCTGCAGTGTGTCTTCAGATGTGATTTCTCTGAAGCCATGGTTCTCTATAACTGACTTGACACAATACATCTGATCTTTTGAATGACTTAAGTGATAATATCAAAATTGCTATCATATACCGATGTAAATCACATGACTAACCCGTGATGTTACACAAACTGCTGAGCTCATTTAGTAAGGGAACAGTAAGGGACTGGCTGTCAGGAGGCTGGAGAAATGTTCTTGGCCTTACGGCTTTTGGCAAGTCAGCTTTGCTTTCTGAAACTTCACTTCCCCACGTGTGAAGTTTGGAGGGATGGAAAGAAGCCTGAGGTGCTAATGTTAACATTCAGCAGTTCCTGGCCTGTAGAGTCTTTTTCAGCTACGAGTGGAACTGCTTCTTCTCTTTTTTTTTTTTTTTTTTTTTTTACTAATTAACTTTTAAACATTGCATGCATCTCCAGTCATGTTTTATCTGTCCTCCAGAGGAGGAATACGTAAGGATTATCCCACCTGACGATGGAACTGCATCTTCTCACCAGTTCAATGACACTGTTTTGCAGTCCCTCCTCAAAGATGGGAGTGGGGAGGGTTGGTGACTTTGTAGTTGGTGAGAATGAATCGGAGACACTGTGATCAGTCCTCTAGAATGGAGTATTGTGTGGGCTTTAGCATAAAAAGAAGCAAAGGACCATATTAGGAGTCTTTTCATGCAATCTATTCAATTAAAGGACTATCCTTTCTAAAAAGAAAAAAAAAAAGTCCTGCTTTCTTGGTGTTAAATCATCATTTATGAAACGATGATAATAGTAAATGGCGATATATGGTGATTGTAAATAGCAAATAAATAATACAGGGTTAACTATTTTATTGTGATTTTTAAAAATAAAGAGAGCCGAGAATCTGGTGTTTTGCTGATGTTGTTAGGGAGTTTAGGAAAAAGTTTCTGGGGCTTTTGCTGTTAAGAAGATTCAAATATAGATTATTTCTTAAGAGTAAATATGAGTTTACTTTGAGGTCGTTTGTCACAATCTACTGAGAAATCCACTGAGAAAGCTGTTAAATTTGCCTGGCATTAAAGATGTTCCTATTCTGACCATTGTTAAATCTTTTCTTATCGGATATAAAATGTCAGGAGATTTTTTTTTGTGTGTGTGACGGAGTTTTGCCCTTGTTGCCCAGGCTGGAGTGCAGTGGCACGATCTCGGCTCACTGCAGCCTCCGCCTTACACGGGTTCAAGTGATTCTCCTGCTTCAGCCTTCCTAGTAGTTGGGATTACAGGTATACGCTACCACTCCCAGCTAATTTTGTATTTTTAGTAGAGACGGGGGTTTCTTCATGTTGGTTACGGTCGTCTCGAACTCCTGACGTCAGGTGATCCGCCTACCTTGGCCTCCCAAAGTGCTGGGATTACAGGCCTGAGCCACCGAGCCCCGCCCCAGGAGATTTTTTTTTGTGCTGTGGTGTGCCAACAAAATAAGCCTAGGCAGGGCAATTCCTCCTGGTGGTTGGAATTGTTAGTATTGAATAGACTAGCTGCAAGGTAAAGAACCCCCCTGGGGTTCTCTTATCAGCTCAGAAATCTTTTAACACTGTGACCTCAGTCTTTTGCTGTGAAACAACATGACCATTAAGAAAGTAGGCTTAAACAATGTATTTTGGGTATGTTGAGGGGGAGGGGCAGTTATGATCTGTTCCAAAGCGAACATAACAGATCATCTCTGTGTCTGTAAAGACTTAAAAATTTATAGTGCTCTGCTGTTATATCTCAAATAAGATTTATAATTATTGTGACATACTCTTAAAAAACTGCAGTGTATCAAAAGATACATTTTGAAAGCATCTTGAAATGAAATTAATGATGTAATATCTACTTTCTTCATAATAGCAATTTGTTTTTTTTTGAGCTGGAGTCCCGCTCTGTCTTCCAGACTGGCCTCCGCCTCCCGGGTTCAAGTGATTCTTCTGCCTCAGCCTCTCGAGTAGCTGGGACTACAGGCTCGAGCTATCACGCCCGGCTATTTTTTTGTATTCTTAGTAGAGATGGGGTTTTACCGTGTTAGCCAGGATGGTCTTGATCTCCTCACCTCATGATCCACTCAGCCCAGTCTCCCAAAATGCTGGGTTTACAGGTGTGAGCCACTGTGACTGGCCCACAATAGTAATTTTTACATTCTGAAGACTGACTGCTCTCAGCCACTTCTGAGTTCTCTGTTTTCAAAGGATAATTTGGTAACTCCATAAATGAAATTTGTAAAGAAGAGAGAAGAGAGTGATTTTTTTTTCTGTTTCTTTTCTATGTACCTTATAGGGTTTTATTTATTTTTATTTTTATTAATTTTTATTTTTGAGACGGAGTCTTGCTCTGTCCCCCAGGCTGGAGTGCAGTGGTGCAATCTCAGCTCACTGTAACCTCTTCCTCCTGGTTCCAGTGATTTTTCCTGCCTCAGCCTCCCGAGTAGCGGGGACTACAGGCGTGTGCCACCATGCCTGGGTAATTTTTCTATTTTTTTTTTTTTTTTAGTAGAGATGGGGTTTCACCATGTTGACCAGGCTGGCCTTGAACTTCTGACTTCTTCAGATGTGATTTCTCTGAAGCATTGGTTCCCTATAACTGACTTGACACAATACATCTGATATTTTGAATGACTTAAGTGATAGTATCAAAATTGCTATCATATACAGATTTAAATCACATGACTAACCTGTGTGGTATTATGCAAATTGTTCAGCTAAGTAAGGGAATAATAAGGGACAGACTGGAGCCTCCTGACAGCCTGTCCCTTACTGTACAGTGGGATTCACCTGGCCTCCCAAAGTGCTGGAATTACAGGCGTGAGCCGCTATACCTGGCCGAGAGTAAGTATTTTTAAGAATATTTTTCGGCCGGGCGCGGT